TTAATAAAAGGCAAAAGTGTTCTTTTATGAACAGCTGCCTTTAGCCACGGTGTCTCAAAGTCTGGAAATTTTGGAAAATATACTTTTAAAAGAATCCTGTACAATAAAACAAAGCACTATTGATGCATTTAAGTTTAATGACTTTTTTAAAAAAAATTGTTGTTACTATAAGTGCAGTTCAGCCTAGCGGCATGCCCATTCTATTGCATGTGGGTAATTTGGACACTTCACATTAACTCCAGAAACGAGCAGCAGCTGCAGTCACTGTGAAGCATCTACAAGGAAAAGAGTTTGAAGCATTTACATTGGAGTATACAGGCATGCTAGCAGATACGGAACGGTTGACCACCAGCGAGATAGTTCAGGAGTTCAAGGTTCTGCTTTTTAAAATTGGCTCTCTGTTCTCTATACTATCCTCTATTCTATCGAAGGTAAGTAAATTAGTAAAGAAAGATGTAGTCAGAGCTAGGTTAAAAGGAGCAAGCAGGCTCCCAAAAGTCATAATCTCTGACTTACTTCCAGTGCCATGTGCAACTGAAGACATGGTTAATGCAGCCTCTCCCTTTAAGATCACTCACTATTCTCTATGGAAAGTGATTTAAGTATGCATATTTAAGTAATTATGATGGCTTGCAAGATCCCAGCAAGAAACAGTTTTAGTGACTTATAATATTTTGGCTGTAATTCAGATGAATGCACATTAATGGTCTTTCCTAAATTTTGTATACTCAACACAACAGAAGCTTTCCAATAGCTATCCATGGAATAGCACAGGAAGCTATGACTAATCAAGTCTGTGCATAGCACTCTAGATTTTATCCAATTTTCCCACATCACTGCAATTTTTAATCCAGGTATATATCCAATTGCCTTTGAAAGCTACTACTGCATCTGTATTCACAAAAGACTGTGCAATCCAAATTCCAACTAAGTGTTGCACAAAAGTTTATCCTCAAGTCACCTGTAGCTCTCTTATCAGATAGCTTAAATCCATGCACTGAAGTTACAGATACAAATTATCCAAGTTTTTCCTTATTTATGCAATCCCACATAACTAATCCTCATCTCTAGAACATTTTTAGCTAATTTCTTCTGAACACTTTAGGAAAGTAAAAGCATACGTAAAGTGGCATGTGCACAAACAGGCATATTCCAACTGGTGCTGAACTAATATTCATGGTCTTAGCATACTTTCCTGGCTCATCCTCTTTTACCTCAAAACGTTCGGGATCCCGAGCTTGATAAAAATTTCTTCCACCAACTACATGCAACACTCCAAATTTGGAGAAGTTAGCTGGTATTTTTCTCTTCATTCTCCCAGTCAAAATCAGTTTTATTTCTGCAAGAATGAGTTTGATCAGTTGTTTCCATGTAAAAATTTTAAACAAATATTGCACACCGAAGGCACTGTGTGTGTTAAACAAAGGGAAGCATAAGGCTAAACAGATCCATTGCAAATTTCATGAACAGTACAAAACTGTTTAGTAATAAACATGAACAATCACATCAGATTTGTAAAATGGTCATGCAGTTTGTATTTCACTAAGAATTTGTTCTACGATCATTTACATACACAAATAAGAACACAAAACCAGGTAATTTAAATCATTTCACTATTTATTGTCAATTTATGTACAGCTGCGCTTTAGATCCTTGACGGGTACAGCATCTGGAAATTAAAAAAAAACTCAAGATGAATAAATAAAACGAACCATCCACAAACAGCTTACTATTTCCATCAAATGAGTCACAACACATTTAAGCTGTGTTTATGTGGAGAAACACATTTACCCAGCTACTACTCTCTTTGGTGTCATCACTAGCCATTTTATTTCCATGATTTTGCAATTTCTGTAACTGTGCAACTGAACAGATACAACTTGACTACAAGCAAACAAACCCCCTCATAGTTGGTTTTTTTCCCAAAAAAAATCAATGTTTGCCTCAAAAGCCAAATCCAGTAAATAGTGCTAACTTTCTTCAAAAATATTGCAGTCAAGATTGTACCAAACTTAGCTGCGCCAAAAATGACTTGAGTATCTAGAGACTGCAAAAAATCCGAAACATTTTTTAAATCTCACATAGTAAAACATCTAACTATCAACTAGCTTGGAAAATAAACAAATCAGCAATGGTGGTCAGCCTTCACAAAAATTATTTCAGTATTTTCTAATAAGCCGTTGCAGAAAAAATGATATCCCTGACTGGACAATTCAGTACCCTCTGTCATAAATATCTGAAGCAATACAGCATTTAAATTAGATGATGTGCTCCAAGTGAATCAAACGGTACAGACTGTTGAATAACTTGAGTGATTTTAAAACAGACCTAAAAACATATTTTAAAACATAATCAAGCTGCCGAACCGTAACACTGAAACAGCTCAAACTCTTTGTGATGAAAGGAGAATTTTGATCACTATATATACACTAAACACAGCCAATAAACCTCGATGTCCAGGCCACCATGAGGATTTGTTCAATATTGGAAGATCAAATATATTAAAATCAGCATCTGAAAAAGGTTGATTCTTGCACTCACCACACGAATCCTATGCCCAATAGCTTTAGCAGGCAGGTTACTGCTGAATTTTGCACGCACCATGCCACTGTTTCCATGAGCACGGGTTACTTTACCCCAAATGACACGAGTCTTGTTTGGTTTACCACCAGGAGTCACAGTGTTGCTTCAAGAAGAAAAAGGAAATTACAATTTAAAAACAAAGGTGAACAATGCTTTCTAAATTGGAAACCAGTGAAGCAAAGAGCCATTATTGCAATAGGGAACTAATTCCCAACTAGATGTTATCATTTAGTGGGTTTCTAATGTAGGCTTTAGAAGAGTTTGAGAAGTAAAATTACATAACGAAAAATAAATCCGAAAAAAAACTCAAGACACATGGATTAGTTAATCTCAGATAATAATCATTCTCTCTCTTTCCTTATCACCCCCTTCCAGGGCAGCAGAAATGTACCAAGCAACTCAGATAAAATATAACTGCACATACAGCTGCATTGCACTTTTAAAATGAAAAATCCATAAACAATGCTGCAGTCAAAATAAATACATGGAACATTAAGATCATACTGACAACCATAAACAAATGGTGGAGTTTTTCCATTATCAGCTAGTTGTAAGTTAATGAATTCAATAACTATGAAGAACAGATTTAAGGTGAGATCTACAGTAAACCTGATTACATTTATAAGGATGCATTTTAAACTAGAATACATTTAAATCTGGTCATATGAAGTGGGTAATAAATTTTGGTCTTTGTTAAATTGGGAAATACTACACAAACTAACATGCTAATTCTACCATAAAGACAATTCACTGGAGCAAGCACATATGGTACCAGATACCACAAAACTTTCATGCAAGAAAAAAACAAACATAGCAGGTGAATTCAAACAACCCCATTTTTCCAACAATGATTGTACAATGAACATTACAAATCGGTCAAAGGAATATAGCATATGCAATTCACAGTGATGCAAACGTACTTCTTTGCTTTGTAGACATAAGCACATCTCTTGCCCAGGTAAAATTCTGTTTCATTGCGGCAATAAACACCCTCAATCTTCAGTAGAGCAGTGTGCTCTCTCTGGTTTCGAAGGCCTCGTTTATAGCCTGTAAACACAGCTTTGCACCACAATCTGCAAAATAAGATACAAAATGAGCTTTGTATTTTACATAAAAGCTCAAATAAATGATTATCTTTTTCATCTATATTAAAAAGTTATTAAGTCAAAGATTTCCAGATAGATAGATAGATTAGAAGAGTTCAGATGAAAGATCACTTGGTCAGGAACGTTAACTGCTTCTCTCCACAGATGCTTCCTGATGTGTTTTTACAGCATTTATCGTTTTATTTGGTATTTCTAGTGTCCAGTCTTTTGTTTTTGTAATTAAGGCTCCGTTGAACAATCTCAGGCAAAATATTTATCTATTATTTCGGATGTCAGCCTGATGCATTTCCAGAGTTTTCTATTGATTTCTATTGCAGAAGATTCTCTTTTTCGGGAAAAAAAACAGGCCAGATCTGAAATTCGTTCATTATCTCCCGGAGACTACTGGTCACTTAGTTGAAAAATCTTATTTAATTTTGGAGTGTGCCAGGGATATCATTGAATTCAACGCATGAGGATATATTGTGAACAAGAGAATGAGGGATGCAATGCGAGGGTGAGTAGATATACGAGAACTGGATAGGCCGTGACTCTTAACCACTAACCGAAACGATAATCCATATTAACAGGCAGCAGAAGAAAAACGAACACGTTTGCAGAAGGGCTCCGGCATTCTGCCCACAGCCCCTTCATAATATACCCAATCAGGGGCTTCTAAGAAGCCGCCCCAACCTCAGTGAGTGTGCGGCCCCCAGGACCAGCTCTTACCTTCCGGGCATTGCGAGCGCGCTCGGGGCAGCTGGATCTGAGAAAAAGACGGGAAGACAGTCAACACCAAGTACAATCCATTCGCTATCGCAAACATCCGCTGACACAAACTCTCTCAGATAATAAATATCTAAATCTCACTATATTATACAACAGATAAATCTACTATGAGGTTGCATTATATCATCAACAACAGTTAAATAACTGTTAAAAACGAGCAGAACTGTAACTCACCGCCTGCCCTGATACCAAGATGGAGGAAGAGGATACAGCAAGGCAGGCCGGGAAATTAACTGGCGGAAGCGGCCAATTCATCCAAACCGAACCAAATAATCAGCTGAACCAGGCAATATATTGGACCAAATAATAAACTGAAACAAATATTTTTTAAAAGCTACAGTTATAAAAACAACGAAACTTGGGCAATTTCACGGATAAAAATACATTCAATCCTAGAACTAATTTATTCAAAAAAAGGATACGTAGAAATTTATTTTAAAAGCACATTTAAATATTTATACATCCTCCGACCCATGGATGTTGTAATGTATTTGCTTTGTAGTGATGAACTTGTCTACAAGGCAACGCCGTGGACAGCTCAGTCAGTGTAAGCCCCGTAGTGTTTCCACGGTAACAGGTCAATCATGTATACGACCGGAGTGAATAGAGAGGATCTTTGTAACTTTCCCAAAAGTGATTCTCCATCAACTATAAATCATGACAAAAAAGGGTGAGTTCGTCTGAGAGACGATTTATATGCAGCTATCTATGATCTATGAAAAAAACAGTTAAAGCCAAACAGACATCGCTGGAAAAACTCAGCAAGTCTGGCAGCACCAGTGGAGAGAAAGCAGAGTCAACGTTTCGGGTTCAGTGACCCTTTTTCAGTATTGATTGTAGTAAGGAAAATGCTGAAGAATTGTGGAGAGTGGAGAGTGGGGAGTGGGGGGGAGAGTGGGGGTGGTGGGGTGGGGGGGGCAGGGGTGAGGGCGGAAGGTGGGGCAGGGTGGGGGCGTGGGGAGAGGGAGGGGGGGGAGACGGGAGAGGGGGGACGGAGGGACGAGTCAATACGACAGAGTTGTACAGCATGGAAACAGACCCTTCGGTCCAACTTGTCCATGTCAACCAGATATTCTAAATTAATTTAGTCCCATTTGCCACCATTTGGCCCATATCCCTCTAAACAGTTCCTATTCATATAACAGCCAATTGTACCAGCCTTCACGACTTCCTGTGGCAGCTCATTCCATACAAGCACTGCCCTCCCCGTGGAAAAAGTTGCCCCTTAGGTCCTTTTAAACTTATGCTCTATAGTTTGCACTCCCTTACCCTGGAAAAAAAAGACCTTGGCTATTCACCCTATCAGTGCCCCTCATGATTGTATAAACCTCTATAAGATTAGTCTCTGACTCTGCAGGGAAAATAGCCCCAGCCTATTCAGCCTCCCCCTATAGCTCAAACCCTTCAACATTCTTGTAAATCTTTTCTGAACCCTTTCAAGTTTCACAATATCTTTCCTGTAGCAGGGAGACCAGAACTGAACACAGTATTCCAAAAGTGGCCTAACCAATGTCCTGTACAGCTGCAACATGATATCCCAGCTTCTATACACAATGCACTGATCAACAAACACAAGTGTACCAAATGCCTTCGTCACTACCCTATCTACCTGTGACTCCACTTGCAAGGAACTATGAACATGTACCCTGACTGCCTTACCAAAATGGAACATCTCAATTTATTTAAACTCCATCTGCCACTCCTCAGCCCATGTGATTAAGGTCCCGTTGTACGGAGATAACTTTCTTCACTGTCCAATTTTGGTGTTATCAGCAAACTTACTTAAATCAGAATAAGAAAAGCAAATTTTAAGAAAATTGTAAGTTAGAATTCTGAATGTTGACTTTTGGTTAAACATTAATGACTGTTACCACTGCATTATCACAAGAATTTATTTTGAATTTCTTAGATTACAGTTTTTTCAACCCATTCCCAAAAGATTTGCTCAGGGTTACAAAACTCAAACACTTGGAACCAATTTTACAACATCTTTACCCTTTTGCAGAACTGCCATTGACTAAAGTCCAGGCTATTGCATTATTACCGCACCTTGGCATAACTTAGTAACAGAAACCCATTCAATAATCAATAGCAAAACTAGATTTCCATTATTATCACTTTCGAGATCTGGTGCATTTAGCTGTAATGAAGGACATCTAAAAACTAGTAGCTATTTATTATATACATTGTCTACCTTAATTCTTAAGCTTTGAAATATTAACTCTTCAGTGCATTAGTCTGATTCTATTTTAACTAGACTAATATTTTAAAAAGATGACTACCAATAACAAAACCACAGAGTTTCATTTAAGCCAAATATTTCAAATGAGATTAACCAACCTTTGGATACAGTTTAATGACTATCCTTCGAGGTAGCACTGTTTTCTTTGATCATTCCATACAATTGCAAAAACAAAGTCGGATTTCAAAGCTTGCAGAAATTTTAACTTAGCTATTAGCATTAATCTTGATTTTTCATGAAAAATCAAGGTCCAGGATTTGCTCCTTTCCAAATTTCGTATCTCATGAATCAAAGGAATTCCTACATAAATGTTATATTCTCACATTCGAGAGATGCAAGGAAAACAATTCTAAAAAGGATCATAAGTGTACCATTCATTCTCCACAAGAGAGATGTAAGGAAAGGGATTTTAAAAAGGATCGGAAGTATACCGTTCATTCTTCACAATATTAAAAACATGCATATACACACTCGCATACACTCACAAAATATACCACCTTCTACAATTTATCCTCCAAAAACATGACATTCACAAGCGTGATATTACAATTTTGAAATCATTATTTACTTACCAATTATGCTTAAGAGCCACTTAACATGGCAGTGATCTTCCTACTTACCTGTTGGTTGACATTTAGAACATAGAACATAGAACATTACAGCGCAGTACAGGCCCTTCGGCCCTCGATGTTGCGCCGACCTGTGAAACCAATCTGAAGCCCATCGAAACTAAACTATTCCGTTATCATCCATATGTTTATCCAATGACCATTTAAATGCCGTTAAAGTGGGCGAGTCTACTATTTTTGCAGGCAGGGCATTCCACGCCCTTACTACTCTCTGAGTAAAGAACCTACCTCTGACATCTGTCCTATATCTATCACCCCTCAATTTTAAGCTATGTCCCCTCGTGCTAGCCATCACCATCCGAGGAAAAAGGCTCCCACTGTCCACCCTATCTAATCCTCTGATCATCTTGTATGTCTCTATCAAGTCACCTCTTAACCTTCTTCTCTCTAACGAAAACAGCCTCAAGACCCTCAGCCTTTCCTCATAAGACCTTCCCTCCATACCAGGCAACATCCTGGTAAATCTCCTCTGCACCCTTTCCAATGCTTCCACATCCTTCCTATAATGCGGTGACCAGAACTGCACGCAATACTCCAAGTGCGGCCGCACCAGAGTTTTGTACAGCTGCAACATGACCTCATGGCTCCGAAACTCAATCCCTCTACCAATAAAACCTAACATACTGTACGCCTTCTTAACAACGCTATCAACCTGGGTGGCAACTTTCAGTGATCTATGCACATGGACACCGAGATCTTTCTGCTCATCCACACTACCAAGAATCTTACCATTAGCCCAATACTCTGTATTCCTGTTACTCCTTCCAAAGTGAATCACTTCACACTTTTCTGCATTAAACTCCATTTGCCACCTCTCAGCCCAGCTCTGCAGCTTGTCTATGTCCCTCTGTAACCTGCAACATCCTTCCGCACTATCCACAACTCCACCGACTTTGGTATCATCCGCAAATTTACTAACGCATCCTTCTACGCCCTCATCCAGGTCATTTATAAAAATGACAAACAGCAGTGGCCCCAAAACAGATCCTTGAGGTACACCACTAGTAACTGAACTCCAGGATGAACATTTCCCATCAACCACCACCCTCTGTCTTCTTACAGCCAGCCAATTTCTGATCCAATAATTTTAGGCATAGATTCACCTAATATGTAGTTCTGGAACTAAATCTGTCTGAAGTAAATCTGATCACACTTACCATCAGGAACCGTATTCTTCTTCACCATGAATTAAAGGAGCAGATGAAAATCATCAAGATTTTTTAATAGAGTTGTACAGCATGGAAACAGACCCTTCGGTCCAACTTGTCCATGCTGATCAGACATCCTAAATTAATCTAGTCCCATTTGCCAGCATTTGGCCCATATCCCTTTAAACCCTTCCTATTCATATACCCATCCAGATGCCTTTTAACTGATGTAATTGTATTAGCCTCCAACACTTCCTCTGGCAGCTCATTCCATACACGCACCACTCTGCATGAAAAAGGTGCCAGTTAGTTCCCTTTTAAATCTTTCCCCTCTCACTTTAAACCTATGCTGTCTAGTTTTGGACTCCCCTACCCTGGGAAAAAGATCTTGGCTATTCACCTAACTATGCCCATCATGATTTTATATCCCTCTATTATGACACCCCTCAGCCTCAGATGCTCCAGGGAAAATAGCCCCAGCCTATTCAGCCTCACCCTATAGCTCAAACCCCCCAATGCCGGCAATATCCTTGTCAGGCTTTTCTGCGCCCTTTCAAGTTTAACAACATCTTGCCTATAGAAGGGAAACCAGAACTGAACGTAGTATTTCAAAAGTTGCCTAACCAATGTCCTGTACAACCACAACATGATCTCTCAACTCCCATACTCAGTGCACTTAGCAATAAAGGCAAGCACACCAAACACCTTTTTCATTCCCTGTCTGCCTAGGACTCCACTTTGAAATGAACTATGAATGTACACTCCAAGGTCCTTTGGTTGGCAACACTTCCCAGGACCTTACCATTAAGTATACAAGTCCTACACTGACTTGCCTTACCAAAATGGAACACCTCACAATTATCTAAACTAAACTCCATCTGCCATTCCTTGGCCCATTGGCCTACCTGATCAAAGTCCTGTTGTACTCTGAGATAATCTTCTTCATTATCTACTACATCACCAATTTTAATATCATCTGCAAACTTCCTAACTATTCCTCCTGTATTCACATCCAAATCATTTATATAAAATGACAAAAAGCAGTAGACTTAGTACTAATCCTTGCAGCAGATAGCTGGTCATAGGCTGTCAGTCCTAAAAGCAACCCTCCACCACCACCTTCTGTCTCCTACCTTCAAACCAATTTTGATTCCAAATGGCTAGCTCTCCCTGGATTTGTGATCTAATTTTGCTAAACAGGAATAGATGTAATTGGAAATGGAGCCCAAAGAGAAAAAACGGCAGTTGGACAGACAAAAGAAAGGTTAGCTGGAGAGAAAGAAAAGCTGCTAAGGGGCACCATTAGTGAGTGAAAATGCATTAGCTATGGTGACAGCAACTCACATGACGACGAGGCCTGGTGTGTGGGGGTGGAATAAGGTGTTCAGGCCCTAAAATTATTCATTGATTAATTGTTTTCATGTTGTCACAGGACTTAATATTGAGTTCTGAAGGCTGCATGGTCACAAGGCAGAATATGAGATACAATCAAATCCTTGCTTAAATACAGTATAACCTGTTTTCCTTTTATTTTTTTTTAAAAAGAGAGGCTGAGGAAATACAACCATTTTCGCAGGGGGATATTCTTCGCATTGGTACTGTGTTAGGGGATTGTGTAGATCAATTAACCATTCTTGGCCTCATCATGCCAGTCGCCTATGAGGAAAGGACAGATGTAACCAGTGTAAGTGATTCCATAAATATTTGACCACCTGTCTATATATCACATAGCCTGCACCCTCAGAGATATTAAATTAGTTGTTTATGTTTCAGATCATCAAGGGCATAGAACATTGTCATTTAGAAGAATGTGTGTATCCCAAGGAAACCTGTAGCAGCAGGGAGAAAGTAAAATAAATGTAAAACTTGGAGCAATTCCAAAAACATAACCTTGGATCTGTCTTAATTTCAATTATTTAATGGTGTTACTGGAATTAACTGCATTCCACCAACCTTAGAGTGAAGTAGCAGGACAGACCGTAACTGTCTCTTTGCAATGGTGCTTGGTATTTGCTGTAGTATTTCATAGAAAGATAGAATTCCTGCAGTATAAAAAGAAGCCTTTTGGACCATCAAGTCCACACCAGCCGTCCAAGGAGCATCCCACCTTATCCCTGTGAGCCTGCATTACCATGGCTAATCCATTTAGCCTACACATCCCTGGACACTACAGGTCAATTTACCAAGGCCAAACCACCTAACCTGCACATCTTTGTACTGTGAGAAGAAACTGGAGCACTGGACAGAAACCCCAGCAGACACAGGAAGAACATGCAAACTCTGCACAGACAGCAGCCTAAGGCTGGAATCAAACCTGGGACCCTGGCACTGAGAGGCAGCAGTACGATCAACAGTATCCACTTTGGCCACATTGCCCTAGTACAGGTATAAACAAATAGAATGACATGTATATTTAACAAGTTTGATCACCTCAGTGCAAAGTGTAAATATATTCGACTTATCACTGTGCAAAAATTTTGTTACCTATGATATAGAATTGAAAAGGGCTTGCAAATAAACTGGAACAGAATTCATAGTAAGCCTACTCCCAGCCATATCCTTCACTTTGATGGACACAAATCTTCTCAATTTACTTAAATTGGACACAAAAATTGTTGGTCACCTATGATAAAAGGAGATGAGGCCCTTCCCAAAATTTTTCCAAATGAGTTTTGAAATGGGATCGTCAAAAATTGTAACCTGTTTTTTTACAGGTTTCACACTAACAACCACCAGAACTGGCAAACAGTAGATATATGACCAAACCCTGGTTATTCAGCTATGTTATCCATCTTTGTCTGATATACTGCTAGTGGCCATGAGTACTCAGAATAAAATTTAAAATATAAAGAGAAGAAAATATTCTCAGATATAAAACCAATATATGAGGTGGATACGTGCACATTGCAAAGTATTTTATCGTGTTTTTCAAGGTTTCTCCCATCCAGCAACCGTTAATAATGAGTTGGAGATCAATTGTTCTTGTGTCAGTAGCACTTAGGAACCTTGTCTGAATGGCAGTTCTTGTGATCCAAACATGTGAACATTGCAGTGGGGTTAGGCATCCTTAGAAGAGGCTTCGCAGTGTGAACATTGCAGCTGTGTCCAAGTTTGTGTACCAATGTATATGTACCAGCATACCACATTTTCCAAGAGTAAAAATCCTTCATATTTCCCTTCTCATGAGTGTAGGGCTTTTGTATTTTAAATTTGTCAGTCAATCTAAACTGTCCACATAAATTTGAGCTGTGTCTATAGCATTTTATGTCAGTACAGACAAGCTTGTAGTGTTGTTCCTATCCCGCACATCTTGGTGTCTGAAAGGTTTTGGAGGAATGTTGGAATGTTTAAAATCTCAAGTTGTTCCAATTTCTTACCACATTTGAACTGGCACCTTCAAAACAATACAGCTTGTTTAATCACAGGATTAAAAACAAGTAAGTGGAGTTTTTTTTCACATAAACAATGATTTTGAAAACTCTGAGGTTCTTAGCAAACCAGAGTATAGCTACACTTTATATCTCCAAAGGAAAATCTGATTTATTTCATGTTCAGATTGTAGGAAATGAAATTGACATGATACTGCACGGTCAGAAGCAAGCGGAGTCAAAGTTTCAGGAGTTGATATCTTCCAGGTCAGATGAGGAGGAGTCTGGAAGAGTTTCCAGAGAACAACGAGCTGACATGGGACAGCGAATCCAGAAGGCTGCAGGGGATCTGAAGAGAAGCACTCAGCTCCTGAGTACTTCACTGAAACAGAGTCCACTTAGTCCTGATAACTTGACAAAAGTACAAACTGACAGGTGAGATCCCAAGGTCTAAAGTTTATGTCTCAGTGTACTTAAATGTAGACATTTTTTGTCTCAGTATCAGTATATTTTCAAGTCCTTCACGACAAAGTCTAATAGATTACGTCAAAATGTAAGGATTAATTCATATTTTTAGAATTTGTCTTGAGTGCTTTGTGCTTACACAGGAAATAGATTTATTTTTCTGTCAGTTTTATCAAACATACATATGGCCAAAACATTTTCAACCACTCCCTTAATCCTTTACCACCTAATCCCTTTGTCCTTCTTCAATCCCATTTTCTTTCACTTCAAGTTGGTTGTAACATGCTATCAAATTCAGTAGACCATATAACTGTAACTTTTCCCCAAAGCCTTTCCAGTTATTGATTCACTCATTACACAAGTCTACCTTTGATCTCCGTGTCTATGTATCTCACTTGAGCTGGCATAAAATGCTTTCTGAGCAGAAACTTGCTTTGTAAACCAAGTAACATTTCAGTTTAAATTTAGTCTCTTATTTTTTTTAAAACAGGTACATCTCTTAACGTTGGTAGTTCAGGAGACATTTTGCACCTTTTTCAAAGAGTCATACAGCTGTACAGCATGGAAACAGACTCTTCAGTCCAACTCGTCCATGCCGACCAGATATCCTAAATTAATCTAGTCCCATTTGCCAGCATTTGGCCCATATCCCTCTAAACCCTTTCTATTCATATACCCGTTCAGATGCATTTTAAATGTTGTAATAGTCCCAGCCTTCACCACTTCCTCTGGCAGCTCATTCCAAACATGCATCACCCTCTGTGTGAAAAAGTTGCCCCTTAGGTCCCTTTTATGTTTTTGCCCTCTCGCCTTAAACCTATGCCATCTAGTTTTGGACTCCACCAACCTAGGGAAAAGAACATACAAGAACATAAGAACTAGGAGCAGGAGTAGGCCATCTGGCCCCTCGAGCCTGCCCCGCCATTCAATAAGATCATGGCTGATCTTTTTGAGACTCAGCTCCACTTAACCGCCCACTCACCATAACCCTTAATTCCTGTACTGTTCAAAAATTTATCTAGCCTTGCCTTAAAAACATTCAGCAAGATAGCTTCAACCGCTTCACTGGGCAGGGAATTCCACAGATTCACAACCCTTTGGGTAAAGAAGTTCCTCCTGACCTCAGTCCTACATCTGCTTCCCTTTATTTTGACGCAATGCCCTCTAGTCCTAGTTTCACATGCTAGCGGAAACAACCTCCCTGCCTCCACCTTATCTATTCCCTTCATAATTTTATATGTTTCTATAAGATCTCCCCTCATTCTTCTGAATTCCAATGAATATAATCCCAGTCTACTCAGTCTCTCCTCATAATCCAACCCTCTCAACTCTGGAATCAAATCAAACCAAAAGACCTCGTCTATTCACCCTATCCATGACCCATGACTTCTGTAAGGTCATCCCTCAGCCTCTGACGCTCCAGGGAAAATTGCCCCAGCCTATTCATCCTCTCTTTATAGATCAAACCTCCAATTCTGGCAATATCCTTGTAAATCTTTTCTGAACCCTTTCAAGTTTCACAACACCCTTCCTATAGCAGGGAGACCAGAATTGAAGACAGTATTCCAAAAGTGGCCTAACCAACATCCTGTACAGTTGCAACATGACCTCCCAACTTCTATACTCAATGCACTGACCAATAAAGGCAAGCATACAAAATGCCTTCTTCACTATCCTGTCTATTTGCGACTCTACTTTCAAGGAACAATGCTTCCCAAGGTCTTTGTTCAGCAACGCTCCCCAGGACCTTACCATTAAGTATATGAGTGCTGCCCTGATTTGCCTTTCCAAAATGCAGCACCTCACGTTTATCTAAAATAAACCCCATCTGCCACTCCTCAGCCCACCAGCCCATCCGATCAAGGGTCCCGTTGTATTCTTGAGTTAACCTTCTTTGCTATCCACTACACCTCCAATTTTCACGTCATCTGGACCATATAACATAAACTTTCAGATACTGAACCTTTAGTTCCTTTCTTTATTACCTTTGCAAGATCGAGTCTTGATTGTTACACTATTCATAGTGTTTTTTTTGAAACCTCTCCAACCCTTCCTGCATTCTCTGACCATCATTTCCCAGATTATTACTTTCTTCTTTTACCTGGTCTCTACTCACTAAATATAGAAATACATGATGTGCCAACCTCTTACTCCCAATAATTAGTTTAAAACGATGCCTATCACCTAGTTATGCAGTTCACAAGAATGCTGCCCCAACAAGGTTCAAGTGCAGACTGTCCCAATGATCCAGTTGCCACTTTCTCTAGTACTGGTGCCTGTAGCACACGAACTGGAATCAACTCATCCCAAAATAGACAGAGCCACACATTCACCTCTAATTTTATGTACCGTGTGCAATTTGCTTTTGGCTCAGGTAATAATCCAGAGATTTTAACCCTTGAGGTTTTGCTGTTTGATTTAGAGCCCAACTCCCATACAATGCTGAAATTCTTTCCTATTGCTATGGAGATACTAAAGTGGACCACAACCACGGTTTCTTCCTCCTCACTCTGCAGGTTCCTTTCCAGCCCCGAGGAAAATGCCCAAACCGTAGCACTGGGCAAGGCAACACAGCCATCTGAACTTGTGCTCTTTGCTGTGGAGAAGTGTTAATCCCCTCCATTATATAATCACCACATTTGACGTTGCTCTCCCAGTTGAATGAGTTCCTGTTTGGATGTTGACAATTTTGTTTTCATATGCTGGCCTTTAAAGAGAAGCTTTTAAAAGTCAACACAAGCATCAGAGGTCAGTCATTGTAGATGAGGGGAAGCAGCAACCTCTTATTGTTAAGACATATAACACAGAGAAGGCATATCCGTTCCAAGCTAATAAGATTCACTGATGTGGGCTACTAGACCATGTGCTCTATTTTTTTCATGCAAGTGCATAAAGAGAAATTGTACTAAAGATTACAGGCGAATATCATTCTTGCATTCCCAAGTGTTGTTAGGTATTAGCAGGGAAATTGGATGTCTACATCTGGTTTGGGAAAAAGGAGGCAACTAGATCCCTTTAGGCAGTGACTGATATTATTGAACCCAAATACGGACCTGTGGAGCTTTACTTCAAAGTAAGTACGCCGTAGTATTTGGTAAATACTAAACTCACAATACATTATTAGGAATATTCATACTAATAGTATTCACTGCAAGCCTTTTTTGCATTATTAATACTTATATTCTGATAATAGGCAATTTGCTTTGGAAGTGATAAAAGACACCTTGCAGGAGATAAATTATTCTGGAACATTTATTTCTCTACTGAACGTTGTCGAAAATGAGAAGAAAAAAAAAATCAACACCCAAAATGTTATCATCAGGTTAGCTTTAGTACTCTTACAATTTACTGGAGCAGGCAATGTACTCAGTATGTATGTGACTTATTCAGTAGGTCACAGTCAGTAGACTGGATTAGCCACACTCCTTTTTTGTTTTAGTTAGAAATTCTAGGCCAATTATTTGCTCAAAGTGTCACTGAGAAGATTATGTAGATTATTGGGATGGGGTAGGGGTTTGCGCATGCAGACAAGTGCCGCAAGCTGCTGCATTGGTGACTGTTTCAGTTATATGTGCTTAAAACAAATGCTGCTCAGCTGTAGTTCTCTCACTCTGCATCATTCTTTGCCATAAAAGGGAACCAAACATGTAAATTTTATAAACGAGTACAAAATCCATTGGTAAATGTTGGTCTAAAATCAAATTTGATCATAAAACTAAGCTACATCAAAGGTTTATCTCCTAATTTCCCTTTCTCAGACACACTGCTGTTGCTCTCCCCTACCCCTTACTGCTATATTCAGCTGAGTAGTTTAGACAGTTAGGGGTTGCAAAACTCTTAAATCTTTTGTCTAGTTTTATGACATGCTTAATTTGATAGTAGGTTCAAGTTGTTTAAAATTCTATTATATATAAAGTTCTACATATATCTTCCTCTCAGAAAAGTGTCTCATCCACTGGTTCAGATGTCAATTGACAATACTGATCTTGAAAGGAAGAAAAATAGAAATTGCTGGAGAAACTCAGTAGGTCTGGCAGCGTTGGTCTAGAGAAAACAGAGTTGACATTTCGAAGTCAGTGACTCTTCATCCGAATTGGACTTGAAATGTTAACCGTTTTTTTTCTGTAGATGTTGCAGACCTTCTGAGTTTCTTTAGCAATTTCTACTTCTGTTTCAGATTTCCAGCATGCACAGTCCTTTGTTTTATTTTACTGATCTTGGAAGGAAGTGGACAAGGATTGATGGTGAAATTTGGCATTCTGATTCAACACCACTGGATGTATTTGTGCTGCATTTGTCAGGTCACTTTTGTGTACTCTGTACATGTTTTTTTAAAAAATCTTCTACTGCTACCAAAGAGACTGCCTGCAAATAGTCTCTAAAGGATGGAAATGGGACCTCATGGTGAAGGAAATTGAAAAACGTTTGCTAAGAGAGGATGATATAACAAGATTTAACAAGTAAAAGCATGTCTTGAATGAATGACTCAACCGTAGTTCTGATTTTGGGTTTAGCTTGGAGAGAGAGATTTGGGATTTCTGACCATTTCAAAAGCAGCTAAAGGCACACGAAAAATTCAAAATTTACTTGGATTTGGCTGTACGAAACAAAAACTGACCAAATTTGAATTTTCACTCAATTCTAATTGCAACAGTTGCAAGCTTAATTCTTATAGTTTTAGCCTATACTTTATTTGCTCGTCAGTTAATATAGCTTTTTGGAGCTAATAATAAACACTGGTACATCTTGCTATTGTACTTAGACTTCTTTTTCAACATTTCACAGAGAAGAAGAAGGCAGAAGAAAAATTAAAGCTCTGAAAAAACAGCTACAAAATTTACAAAAAGAAAGAGAGGCTGATCAACAGGTTTTAAGCTTTTTGTTATCAGATGTCTACATTCTATGCTACAGAATTCTGTTTGACTATTAGGAGTAACATTTCAAAATTAATGGATTTCACCAAACTGGGGGTTGGTGTGATCATAGTACATTTTCAAGGGGACTGAGACCGAATAGAGTCAAAGAGTCATAGAGTTGTACAGTATAGAAACAGACCCTTCGGGCCATATTAACCAGATATCCTAAATTAGTATAGTCCCATTTGTCAGCATTTGGCCCAGATCATTCTAAACATTTCCTGTTCGTGCACCTATCCAGATGTCTAGTAAATGTTGTAACTGTACCAGCCTCCATTACTTCCTCTAGCAGCTCATTCCATACACGCACCACCCTCTGTGAGAAAAGGTTGCCCCTGAAGTCCCTTCTATATCTATCCCCTCTCACCTTAAACCTATACCCTCTAGTTTTTGACTCCCCTACCCTGGGGAAAAGGCCTTAGCTAGTCACCTTGTCCATGTTTCTCATGATTTTATAAATCTCTATAAGGTCACCCCTCAGCCTCCAACACTCCACGGAAAATAACCCCAGCCTATTCAGCCTGGCCGTCTTTATGTGCTGTACAGCTGCAACATGACATTGAAACTCATATACTTAATGTACTGACTAATAAAGGCCAGTGTACCAAATGCCTTCTTCTCTACCCTGTTTACCTGTGACTCTACCATCAAAGAACTATGCACCTGCACCCCTAGGTCTCTTTATTCAGCAACACTCCCCAGAACCCTGTATATAGTGTATAAGTCCTGTGCTGATTTGCCTTACCAAAATGCAACCCTGCACATTTATCCAAATTAAACTCCATCTGCCACTCCTTGGCTCTTATGATCAAGGTCCTGTTGTACTCTGAGATCACCTTCTTCACTGTCAACCACATCATCAATTTTGGTGTCATCTGCAAACTCACTAACTATTCCTCCTATATTCACATCCAAATCATTTATATAAAATGACAAAAAGCAGTAGACCCAGCACCGATCCTTGCAGCACGCATTGGTCACAGGCATCCAGTCTGAAAAGCAACACCTCACCATTGCCCTTTGTCTCCTAGCTTCAAGCCAATTTTGTGTCCAAATGGCTAGCTGTCCCTGGATTCCATGTGATCTAACCTTGCTAACAAGTCTACCATGTAGAACCTTGTTGAATGAATTGCTGAAGTCCAAGTAGACAACATCCACCGCTCTGCCTTTATCGATCTTCTTTGTCACTTCTTCAAAAAACTCAATTAAGTTAGTGAGACACGACTTCTCAAACACAGAGCCATATTGACTATCCCTGATTAGTCAATGCCTTTCTAAATACGTGTAGATCTTGCCCCTCAGAATCCCCTCCAACAACTTACTCACCACTGATTTCAGGCTCACTGGTCTATAGTTCCCTGGCTTTTTGTTACCACCTTTCTTACATAGTGGCACCACATTAGCCACCGTCAAATCTTTCGGCATCTCACCCATGGCTATTGATGATACAAGTGGCCCAGCAGTCACTTCCCTAGCTTCCCAAAAAGTTCTGGGATATACCTGATCAGGTTCCGGGGATTTATCTACTTTTATGTATTTTAAAATGTCCAGCAACTCCTCCTCTGTAATATGGACACTTTTCAAGATGTCACTGTTTATTTCTCCAAATTCCCTAGCTTCCCCACATATCCTTCTCCACAGTAAATACTAACATGAAATACTCATTAAGTATCTTAGCCATTTCCTGTGCTACACACAGACGGCCTTGCTGATCTTTAAGGGGCCCTATTCTCTCGCTAGTTACTCTTGCCGTTCATGTATTTGTAGAATTTCTTTGAATTCTCATTAACCATATTTGCCAAAACTATCTCATGTTCCCTTTTTGCCCTCCTGATTTCCCTTGAATATACTCCTACTGCCCTTAATTTCTCTAGCCGTCCAGCATTCCCTACACCTACCAGTCTTGCAATCTCTTGCACCCCTTTCTAACCTTCCTATTGCATCTAGACCCTGGAACACGAAGCTGCTAATCCTGTCTATCCCTGAACCACATCGCTCTAATAGCTATGATATCCCAGTCGCATGTTCCCAACCATACCCTGAGTTCATCTGCCTAACTTGTCAGGCCTTTTGTACCGAAGTAAATGCAGTTTAATTTATCAATCTTGCCTTGACTATTTGACTTACTACTCTTCTCAACTGTTCCAGCCTCAAACTTATCTCTTTTTTCATTATCTCTTTGGTGTCTGCAACGTTGTCCCCACCTCCCCAAAACCACCACTGTAGCACTAGCAAATCTCCCACCATGACATTGGTCCCCTTCCAATTCAGGTGCAAAATGTCCTTCATACACAGGTGACTTCTACCTCAGAAGATCCTTTTCAATGATCCAAAAATGCAAATCCCTGCCCCCAGCACCAGTCACGCATTCACCTGCTCTATCCTCCTATTCCTACTCTCACTAGCACGTGGCATCGGGAGTAATTCAGATATTAAAACCCTTGAGTACCTACTTCTTAATCTCCTACCTAGTTTCCTATATTCTCCCTTCAGAGCTTCATCCCTTTCTGTTCCTATCTCGTTAGTACCAACATATACAACAACCTCCTGCTGGTCACACTCCCCTTTGGCAATATTCTGCACCTGCTCTGAGACATCCTCGATCCTGGCACCATGGAGGCAACATACCATTCTGATTGTTGGCCATAGAAACATCTACCTGTGCCCCTGACTAGATAGTCCCCCATCACCATTGATTGCTTGGAACCTGACATTGCCCTTGTTACACTAGAGCTAGTCACGGTACCAGACATTTAGATGTCAGTGCTACTACACTACCTACAATTTCCAAAACAGCATACTTTTTTTTGAGATGGGGATAGCCATAGGAGACTCCTGCACTACCTGCCCACCTCTCCCTTCCTTCCTACAAGTCACCCATCTACTTGATTATCTGTAGTTTTTCCACCTTCTTGAAACTGCCATCCATAATATCCCCTGGTTCCTGTAAATTCCTCATTGCCTCCAACTGCCACTCCAACCAATCCATGTGATCCGGTAGGATTCACAATCAAAAGCACTTCCTGCAGACATAATCATCAGGAACAGTGAAATTCTCCCTAATCTCCTATATTCGAACAGGTAGAGCACATCAACAAAGGCCATCTGTGCACCTCAACCAGAAAATTTACTACTCTTAAAATACAATAAAATATGACTAAAACTTGAAAAATGGCTGTTGTGTAATTGACAAATTAATTTCAATGTTGCTAAGTCTAAGTTGGTGTGTCTTGAATAGAAGAATAAATCAGCTACCTACTCCTTACACGATACGAATTGTAAATAAGATAGAGAAACAAAGGATCTAGGATCACAGATGCACAAATCTTTATAGTTAGAAACAAATTAATAAAGCCATAAGCAAGGCAAACAAAGCAATGAATGGGTGTCATTTCTAGAAACCTAGAATCTAAAAACAGGAATGTTGTGATACACCTGTATACAAACTTGGTTAGAACCACACTGAGCTACTGTGCACAGTTCTGGTCTCTGTATTGCATGAATGATGTAGAGGCAAAGGAAAGGCACAAACCTGTTTCAAAGAATGCTGTATTAGAAAAGATTGAATTTCTGCACCCGAGATGAAAGGTTATTGCAGGTATATAGGAATGTACAGTTGAAGTTAACATCATGATTGTATGGAATGGCTGAGCAGGGTGTGCATGTGTATGTAGGTTGAATAGTTGTGTTGACCATATAATCAGAGGAGGAAAGAACAGCAGTATGCTGGTTGGGTTAGATGATGTGAAATGGGATAAGGTAGAACATGAACACTGTTCAGCTCAGTAGAGACTTAGCTTGATTCATGGAGAAAGGCAGTGCCATAGAATGCTACTTGCACAACCTGTGTGACATTCTTCATTGATGTGAATAAATGAAGCTATGCAAGTAACAGTGGCATTAAGCAATTAGGCGAAACAGCCAGTTTCTGTGCTGTTTATTTTGTGTAATTTATAACCCTTTGTAAATACAGCTAAGAAAAGCTTTTACAATATTTTTACAAATTAACAAGATAATTAAATGTTTTTCAACTTAAATTAAGGAACTATGGAATTTATTATGTATAATACTTACCTTACAATCAATTCCTTGTTCTTAATTGTTTCAGTAATTTCTTGTCTTAGTTGAAGAGACCCCAATCAGATCTTTATGTAAAGTTGAAGAAAAAAGTAGAGACATTTGTTTGTCTTAGCACTATGCAAACTTAGTTTATTAGTCTGTGAGAAGGCAGCACTGTCAGCTGTTACTTGCATAGCTTCATTTATTCACATCAATGAAAAATGTCACACAGGTTGTGCAGGTAGCATTCTATGGCACTGCCTTTCTCCATGAATCAAGCTAAGTCTCTATTGAGCTGCTTTAATAAATTTCTCCCCCAAATTCTTCAATAAGCTTGTCATTTAGAAACTTAACAGTGGGTAAAGAATCATGATTTAATTTCACAGTGAAATACACACTTCCAACTGCTTGTGAAAGTTTAAGTACACTGTGATTTCCTCCAAGGACTAGAAGGTGAAGTATTATAAATTACATTGATCTGGAAGCAAGATGGTCTTTTAGAATAGTTCCAGACAGCAAGAACTTCATGGTCTTAAAATACTCACCTGTGAGGATGTTGTGGGAAGTTAGGGAGCATCAGAGGCTGAAGGGTGACTTTATAGAGTTTATAAAGTCATGAGGGGCATGGATAGGGTAAATGGACAAGGTCTTTTCCCCAGGGTTGGGGAGTCCAAAACTAGAGGACATAAGTTTAAGGTGAGAGGGGAAAGATTTAAAAGGCATCTAAAGGGCAAATTTACATGCAGAAGGTGTTGCGTATATGGAATGAGCTACCAGAGGAAGCGGAGGAGGCTGCTACAATTACAACATTTAAAAGACATCTGGACGGGTATATGAATAGGAAGGGTTTAAAGGGATATGGGCCAAATGCTGGCAAATGGGACTAGAAATATTTAGGATATCTGGTCAGCATGGACAAGTTGGACCGAAGGGTCTGTTTTCATGCTGTCCATCTGTATGACTCTAATTGCGGTGCCCCTTGCAGAAATATTTGTATCATCTAGAACTATGGGTGAGGTGCCGGATAACTGGAGAGTGGTTAATGTTGTGCCTTTCTTTAAGAAGGGATGTAAGGAGAAGTCTGGGAGCTATAGACTTGTGAGTCTGACTTTGGTGATGGGTAAGCTGTTAAAGGTGATTCTGAAAGATAGCATTTATATGCATTTGAAGAGGCAAAGACTGACTAACGATAGTCAGCATGAGTAAGGGAAATCATGTCTGACAAACCTGATTAAGTTTTTTTGAGGAAGTAACCAAAAAGATTGATGAGGGCAGAGTGTAGACATTGTTTACTTGGACTTTAGTAAAGCTTTGGACAAGGTTCCACACATAGACTAATTAGTAAAGTTAGATCATATGGGATTCAGGGTGAGCTTGAAAATTGGATACAAAATTAGCTTAATGGCAGGAGACAGAGAGTGGTGGTGGAGGGTTTTTTCAACTGGAAGCCGGTGACCAGTGGTGTTCCACACGGATCAGTGCTGGGTCCACTTTTGTTTGTCATTTACATAAATGATTTAGAAGAGAATATAGAAGGCATGGTTAATAAGTTTGTGGATGATGCCAAAATTGGTGGTATACTGGACAGTGAAGGTGGTTATCTAACCTTACAAAAAATCTTGAAAATTGGGTCAATGGACCGAGGAGAGGCAGTTTAATGGAATTTCATTTGGATAAATGCGATTTCTAGTATTTTGGTAAAACAAACAAGGACAGGACTTACATAATTATAAGTAGGGCCTTGGGTAGTGTTGTAGAACAGAGCAACCTAGGGATTCATGTCCATAATTCTTTGAGCTTTGTGTCACATGTAGACAGGGTGGTTAAGGCGGCACACTTGCCTTCATTGTTCAGACCTTTGAGTGTAGGAGTTGGGACATCACGTTGAGATTGTACACTACATTCATGAGGCCTTTTCTGGATCGTCCAGTTGTGGTCTCCCTGTTATAGGAAGGATATTATTAAGCTGGACAGGGTTCAGAAAAGATTTACCAGGATGTTGCCAGGAATGGAGGGTTTGAATTTTAAAGCGAGGTTGGATAAACTGGGACTTTTTTCACTGGAGTGTAGAAGGTTCAGGGGTGATCTTTCGACATTCATAAAATCATGAAGGGTAAAGATAAGGTGAACGGCTGATATCTTTTCCTTAGGTTAGGGGATTTTCAAAAATACGGGTCATATTTTTAATGTTAGAGGGGATTCATTTTAAAAACAAAGAGATGGGGGCAACTTTTTTTTTTTTTTTTACACAGAGAGTGGTTTGTGTGTGGAAAGAACTTCCAGAGGAAGTGGTGGATGTGGGTACAGTTACAACGTTTAAAAGATATTTGGTTAAGTACATGAATAAGAAATAATTGGAAGGATACAGGTCAAGCGCAGGCAGGTAGAACTAATTTAGTTTGGAATGATGGTCAGCATGGACTGGTTGGACCGAAGGGTCTGTTTCCATGCTGTCGACTATGACTCTATGAAATGAGGGACAAAGGCAGAATATTACAACATTTATAACAACAACTTTGGCCAATGGGAAAAGGGATGAAGGATAACTGCATTTGTGTTAAAATGGGAAGACAGAGCTTTGTTCTGTGCAATTCTAATCTGAACAACATCCAAATGTAATGGATGAAAATTCAGACAACTTGAAACAAATTTTCAGAACACAAAACTACCATTATTGTAGGCATAAGTTAGTTGAAAGAAAATGTAAATGCAATCATGCGTACTCAGTTTATTGACCATGCACGATATTTAATAATTGCAGGGAAGTAAGACAATTGCAGCTGTTGAACTGTCTTTTCTTTTGTGACTACGCAGCAAAAAAATGAAATGATCGCCCACCTAAAAGACCAGTTGCAAGAGATGAAGGCAAAAACTGCCATGGAAGGAAAGTACATGAAAAAAAATGCAGAACTGCAGATCTTCCAGACACACAAGAAATGTGCTGATGAGGAGAATAAGCTACAGGAAGAAGTTCAGGTTGTAAAACAAAAACAGGACTCAAAGTTAATTCTTGATATTTTATGTCTACAAAATCTTGGAAAGGCTATTCAAACAATGAAACAATAATCCAATCTGGATTTTGATTATTTCACGCATTGCACATTGTGATCTCTCTCTTTTTGGTTAGAGCTACTGTTCACATTATCTACCTCAATACATTTGACTAGACATTCAGCAGTAGCCTTTTTACCTCCCTAGAAAGGGATCACCGAAGCCAACTATGATGTCTTGATGACTTGAAGTGACAGTTTTCTGTCTTGTAGACTACAGTTTGTGTTGTCATGGTCAGCTATGCATTAAGTATTGTCTGGTGTGGCTCGGAAGCCCCATTCTGGCATGCCACTTTTGCTGCAGTTGAAAACAGTGGGCTGAGAAGGTGGAAAATTCACTAGACTCTGTTTTTTTCTTGTGTGCTGAGCTTTTCATTTCTGCTCATCTCTTCCAATGCCCTTGCAAACAGTCAGCCTCCGGAGGTCAAGGCGATCAATAGTTGTCTTCCTGTTGTCATTATCAGTATTCACCATCTTCATTCTCATTGCAAAAGTCAATGCAGCAGAGGTATTGACACCCAGGAGATTATGGATCCACTGGTCAGTTGTACACAAAATCTTTGGAATGTACAACCATCATCCATCTGATGTACATGGCCAAGCCAATGCAGACATAGCTGACACAGCAAAGTGTGTGTGCTAGTGCAATTAGCACACTTTAGGATTCTTGAGTATTTACTCAGAGATACACCTGAGTCAGAGAAGGCAGAAGCTGTTAAGTACTTTACCCTATCTACGATGTGTTACCTGGGCCTTTCTGCTGCAAAGAATAGCATTGAGGATTTGGGCTTGGTAAACTCTCAGTTTGGTGTTCTCAGTCAGGTTGTGTTGTTTCTGTGTCTGTCACTCAGCTTAGACGTAACAGCTCAAGTTTGTGCGATGCATGTGTTGACTTCCACATCACATGCTACCCCAGTGATTGCGGAGCCTAGATGTATGAGGCTATCAGTGACCTCCTGTATCATGTGCTGGAATGTGACATTTATCATCTCAGTTCTAATGGTCAAAACAAACACTTGACAGGCACGACAGAGTATGTCATTATTGCTGCCGGTATGGAATATTCATGTGGCATCATAAATGTAGAGCAAACCTCTGATGACGACTTGGCACTCTTTTGTCTTGGATCTTAGGCAGACAACTTGCTGTTTGCAACTGTACATTTTCTGTGGATTACCTGAAGTAATATGGCAGCAGAAATGAGAGGAATAAGGGACAAGTGCAGGAAAGTGGGATTAGCACACTTTTGCTAGTAGTTATGTCAGGGTAGACTTGATGAGTTCAAGGGCCTTTTCTGCACTGCATGAATCTATGAATATGCCAAAGACTGTTGGTGCCAGAAAACTCCCATAATTGACTCCCCTGGGGATTTCAAAAGATTTTGTCACAGCTGACCTCAACCAATACATTGTTAAGGAAATCACATTGAACAGGTTCGGAGGGCAGTCAATTTTTGTGCCTAGGTAGCCTTGTACCTAAGATGGCACCATAAGTGGTGACTTATAAACATTTCACTGTACTCATCTGAGTGCATGTGATAATAAACATAAACATAATTCAATTTTCTCCAGAGAGCAGTAGAAGTGTTGTCATTGAACACTTAAGGCAGATGTAGATAGATTTTTGACTAACAATGGAGTCAGTGATTATTGTGGGTAGAAGCTACATGGCATTGAAGCCACAATTAGATTAGAAACAACACTTAAAAGCTCAACACCATCCAAGTCAAAGCAGCCTGCTTATTGGGCACTACGTCCACAAGCATCCACTCCCTCTACCACCAATGCTCAGTAGCAGCAGTGTGTATTATTTACAAGATGCACTGCAGAAATTCACCAAAGATCCTCAGATACTGCCGTCCAAACTCACAACCGTTCCAACTAGAAGAACACGGGCAGCGGATACATGGGAACACCACCAGCAGCAAGTTCCTCTCCAAGCTACTAACCATCCTGACCTGGAAATATACCACCATTCTTTCAACGTCGCTGGGTCTAATGGCATTGTGGGTCAACCCACAGCACAGGCACTAGTCACATGCCTTGGTTAGATTGACAAAGGCAATATGTAACTGTTTCCTTTGTTCCCAGTATTTTTCTGCCAACTGCCAGATTAAGAGTATCATCTCAGTTGTAGCTCTGAAAGCACATGGGGATTTGGGATAGATGCATTCAGCCAGGATTTACAGGATTTCGTCTGGTGAAGACGACATGACAAATTTTTTTCCCATGCTGCTCAGCTGAACAATGCCTGAACACTTTTTGCCATTGCTGCAGTTGCCATTTTTCTTGTACAGGGTAACAGTCTTTGACTCAGACAAAGCTTGAGGCATTGCCCCCTCCATTCAGCAGGGTCACAGAATTCCTACAGTGCAGAAAGAGGCCATTCGGCCTATCAAGTCTGTGCCGGCCCTCTGAAGAGCATCCAACCCAGACCCAGCCCCCCAGCCTATCCCTGTAAACCTACATTTACCATGGCTAATCCACCTAACCTGCACATTGCTGGACTCTATGGGACAATTTAGCATGACCAATCCACCTAACCTGCATTTTTTTGGACTGTGGGAGGAAACTGGAGCACCTGGCGGAAAGCTGTGCAGACAAGGGGAGAACATGCAAACTCCACAAAAATAGTCACCCAAGGCTGGAATTGAACCCAAGTCCCTGGCATGAGGGAATAGTGCTAACCACTTTGTCACTTTGCCGCCCATGCTAGTTAGAGAAGTTTATGCAGAGCCTGTAGGAACACTGGTTTCATATACTTAATCACTTCAAGTATAAGACTGGCATCTGGAGCTTTGCCCATGGTAAGTTAATAAATAGTTTTGCTAAACTGTCCCAAGCTGGAGCACTCAGCTATCCACTTTTGGCCAAGTGGAGAATTTTCCTAAATGTTTATGGACGTGAAAGAGACATTGGGAATGAACACAGAATTGACATTTAATAATTTAGAGAGGTAGGAAGTACAACTTGCATGAATGTCTTTTTTTTGTCTGTCTCAGTAAACTCGTGTGACTGTAATGTGGGTATCTTAAGTGGTGCTTTGGAACTGAAATGATGATGATTATATAAAAAATACACTTGAATCTCTAATAGCTAAGATATGCAAACTGTTTCCAAAAATGAAAATATTGATTGCATATATCCAAATCAACATTTTAAAATCTCTCGCATTCCGTTCAATTTGCTTTTCTTTAACCAGCTTCTGAAAAGTAAAATTGATCAGGAGATTCGGATACACTTGGATATCGAAAAGTTCTTGAAGCAAAACCAGTCAGTAAGTATTCAAGTTCCTCACATTAACTATAAAGCACTTTAATTCTCTAAGATACAATGAAGTGCTTAAATTATATTTTTGAATTAGAAGTATTGGTATCTCTCAACATCCACAAGTCCTATAACAAAAGCGAACTCTTTCTTTCCAAATATCTCAGGTTGGGATCAGACCGAGCTCATGATATGAGATCTGATTTGGCAAAAAGTTTTGGGTTTCATTGTGATTTATCAAGGCAAAGCTATTCCTTGATAGTTGTGACCTCAATGAGGCTTCATTTAATAGCCATTGAGTTAAAGCAATTCATGCTGTAATGTGTGCGAAGCTAATTTCTGTACTATCTCCTATTTTTTCTCATCGTCTATGCTTAGACTATAACCATATTAAAACCATATTAACATATTAAAACATCTAAACAATTGTTCATTCTTCAAATCTCAACTCATCTTGTCTTTAAGTATTTTCCAAAGTTTCCTTGGTCATTTAATCTAATTAATTTAGTTTAGCTGCCCTTTCACCCCACTGAATTAAGATAATCTAAAGTTTAACAGTTTTACACTTGACTTCTCCCGTATCAATTTTCAATATGAATAAATTTAGTATATATCTATATATGCTTTCTAAGTGTTCTTATACTTACGTGGCATCTATCTACTCTGTAGCTCATAACTGGTTTGAACATTGTCATTTTTCACTAGACCATGCAAGATGCTGATCAAGGTAATTGTCCTGCATGCTTGCAACAAATTTAACCTTCTTTTGACCACAACATTTTGTCACATCACGGTTACAAATTACATTGCATGTGACTGTGATGAAGACAGACTTTATCTCCTCCTCCTCAACCTGTCTGCATCATTTGACATAGCTATCTCTTCCAACTCCTCTTTTATTATCAACCAACTCACCTGATTCAATTCTGATCTAATACAATGATAACCAGAGAGCTAACCTCAATGGCTTTTCTTTCTATTCCAGCAAAGTTACCTCATTGCCCAGGACCTACCCTTGGAGCCCTCCTAATTCTCAGCTACATTGGTTTTAGTTGGTAGCACTCTTGCTTGAGTCACAAATCTCTGGGTTCAAGTCCTGCTCTAGGGCTTGAGCACAAAAATCAAGACTGATACCCTGTTGCAGCACTTAGGGCGTGTTGCTCTGTTGTAGGGGCCTTTTTTAAAGACGAGATATTAAATGAGCCCACATCTGCTTACTCAGATGGATGTATAACTCCACAGCACTCAGTCAAGTAGGGAATTATCCCAAATTTCATGATGAACATCACAAAAGATGACCACACTGATATTTATAGGAGTGTACTGAGCACAAATGAGCATTTCCTACATTACAATAGTGATGTAAGCTGCTCAGAGATGCCCAGAGCTCATTAAAGTGCTATATTAATTCTTTACATGGTGCTTCTCAGCAACATCATCCAAAACTTGTCTCCACCTACACACCGGATGTCAATACCCAGCTCTACCTTAGCATTACCTGCCCTAATTCCTCGACTGTCAATCTCTATCTTGTATTCAATTTGGTGATCTCAGAAGATCACAGATGCATTGTACTGGCCGGTGTCTTAAAAAGGGGTCTATGTTTCCATTTCTGGTCATCATTCACTGATCCCTATGCAGAATACAAGGGATACTGAAAATTTAAACTGAAGCATTTAACATTTCAGGTTGTTATCCTTCACCAGCAGTACCATTTTAAGTACCTTCAGCATTTTCTGTTTTTAAACATTGCTAAAAGTAGATACAGTTATACAGCATGGAAGCAGACCCTTCAGTCGAATCAGTCCACACCATGTTCCCAACTAAACTTGACCCACTTGCCTGCGCTTGGCGCATATCCCCCCAAACCTTTTGTATTCATGAACTTATCCAACTGTCTTTTAACTGTTGTAACTGTACCTGCATCCACTACTTTCTCTGGCAATTCATTACACATACGAACCACTCTCTGTGTAAGAAACATTGCCCCTCATGTCCTTTTTAATTTTTTTCTCCTCTCGCCTTAAAATTTTCCCCCCTAGTTTTGAACTCCCCCACCCTACAGAAAAAACCCTTGTCATTCACCTTATCTATGCCCCTCATGATTTTATAAACGTCAATAAGGTCATCCTCAGCCTCCTATGCTCCAGTGAAAAATATCCCAGTCTTTCCAGTCGATTTTTATATCTCAATCTCAACCCCCACCACCCCCCCAACTCCCCGATTCCCAGCAACATCCTGGTAAATCTTTTCTGAACCCTCTCCAGTTTAATAATATCCTTCCTATAACAGGTGAGAAGTTGAAGCCTTTCATCTCGCACTCATCAGAATTAGAATACAAGCAACAGACTTGAAAAAGAGACCATTTTATACACAAAGAGCAGCGGGTGCTGATTGATTTGACCTTAATTAGCATTGAGATGCAGCAAGACCAGTTAACTGATACGATATACACATTGAGATTCCTACAGTCCAATGTGCCACAAGATCAATTTTATTGGATCCTCATGAATAGTGCTGCTTATCATGTAAGCTTGATGCTGAGACAGGGCATAACAAAGTTATCCTGCATGATAACTGATATCTTGATGGAATTTAGTTCACATTACCCTAGAAGGAGAAGGTGCCTCAAAAATTTGAACAACAGGTGAAACTAGCTGTGTCATGCGCTATGATGCACAAAATCTTTTGAGTGGTTTTCTCTACTAACAGAATGCTGTCAAGTTATTGAGAAGTTTTGACTACCACACAAATGAATAATGTGACAAGTGAGTTTCACTGCTGGTGTGATGTCAGGTATGTAAATTGTACATTGCAAGTGTTGGCGGACCATATCAAACAATGTGACACGATGAACTTTCAGTGCTGGCAGCATGCTTCTCGTGCTCAACCAGCCTGTGCTCTCAAGCCTCAGACAGGTGTATGCACTTTTCAGTGTGATTCTGCAATTGGAAACTATGGTAAATAATCTGGATTAGACTAAGAGTTACACTGGAAACAAATTTAAGATCATTAGCCGGACACTCAGTCTGATGCGTTTGTGTGCACTAGTACGTACATACATAAATATTGAGGACTCTGTTTTGTAGAATTGTACCTTTTAGAAAACAAGGGATAGTGGATGCAGCCAAATTCTGTTGCATCCTCATGACACCAACCTGACCAATCAGACCTGTCTCGTTTTAGAATTAAGTTGATGGTGAACTGTTCTTGTTGCCCAACCAATCAGCACTCTCTTTTCATTCATTATAATGTGTTGTCTTTTTATTTCCTATGTCTGTTTCTTGCGTCCTAGTTCTGATGGATGCAAGACAAAATAAAACTTCAATTTCCCATCTCCTTGTAGCAATGTTCAAGTTCTGTACTACCAAACATTTATTTTTCTGTGTTTGTCTATTTTCTATTCAACCTGTTCAGAGATGTTATTACACGTTATAAAGCGGAGGTTGGCCACCCCCGCTGAGAACTAAATCCAAAACACCCATAGAGGAAAACATTACCCTATAATCTGCACATTCCTTTTACAAAGTGGTGTAAGCTGTGTTTCTGCAACTTCCAGTGGTTAAATAAAATAAATCCCTGACTTTCACTTCAAAATTAACAAGTAACAATTTATTTATCTAACTCTAACAGTGAAAAATGAACTAAACTATTAACAAACCAAGTAAATCCCTTCTAATTACTAACTATTCTCAACTAAAGCAAGGTTCTAATGGTATGCTGTTTGAATAAATACAAGTTCCACTTATATTGTCTCTTGAAATTATGGCCAGGTTACGTGTCTTCTAAAATGTTTAGTGCCTTCTCTGTCGATTCTTCTGTCAGGAATATTAACTAGTTGTGCCGTTGGTACCATTGTTATTTACATGGCTTTCTCTAAGAAATAAAAGGAGGCTGTGAGAGCCAGTGATTCTCTCGAGGGCTGAGGGCCGTTAGCTCTGGGCTCTGTGTCCAACTACCTCCCCTTCTTTTTATACCCTTGATGTTATTTCAATATTTCTTACCATAGGATTGGTCCTATGTTGTCAAAACCATCAGACTTAAATTTAATAGGTTTTTGGTATCTAAGTATCTGGTTCAAATTGATTGGCTAAATTCAAAAGCCTGTTGTCTTGGTTAAAAAAAAAAGCTTCTGCTTGGCCTGCTAACTGTACGATTTTTCAATATAAATGTTTCAATTTGGGTGCTCTCTCTGTACTTGCAAACTTTCAAGCTGCTGCTCACAGACATCCATTTTAAATCTCTGAGCACAGAAAAAGCACATGATCTTTTAAAGGGACCACGCAATACCTCTGCCCCAAGAATTTTATAAACACTAAGTTCTAACTTCCTGCATCCCAATCCACAAGTACTCTACCAAACTTTGCAACACCTCCCTCTTAAGAAAAAAAGAACCATCATTATGAAAAGATGTCTTCATCTTTTTCCTTTTTTCAGAAACCTTAACTCCATTATATTACTAGATCCATCGCTCATCAATCTAATGTTACACATTTTGTACAAATTCTGTATTTATATAACATTGAACATGATCGTTTCTATCTCATATTAGCATTTTCTTTTAAACTTGCGATAAAACATCCACGATAATATTTTCATGAGCCACAACATGCACAATCTGTAAATTAATTGCTTGTAACAAGAGACTGCAATGAAATAATATGGTGTTCTTGTCCTTAAATCTTTCCAGAAATGTCAAAGGATTGTGATAGGTATACACAGTCGTCTCTGATGCTTTGTTTGCAACATAAATATTAAAATGTTGTAAGGCCATTACCAAACTCCATAATGTTTTCAATGTTTGAATTTTTTTTTGATGGGTATTAAGTTGTTTTGAAAAGTAACCGATTGGCCTTTCAATTCCACAATCATCCTCCTGTAACTACACAGCTCCAACACCAACAATCGATTGCATCAATGGCAACTTTGAAGGGTTTCAAAATTTTGGCATGGCTAAAATTGGTGTGGTGGTTAACACTGCTTTTAATTTCTCAAATGCCTCCTGTCCAC